AAAGTGTGTTTCAATGCTAACTCAAAGGGATAAAATTCTTCTAGCTATACAATGTTTCAAATTCGGACCTTTGTTATTCAAAAGATGAGTCTCAAGTTGTGGCTTCAAATACTTCGACTACATTTCTTCGGTTGGAAATTGATTTGTGAAAATACTTCGACTACATTTAACTCATTTGACCTTCAATTGCGTACAATTGATCATATGCGATCTTCAATCGTCATTTTTTTTAAATGTTTACATTTTGGTCCCCCAAACTTTAGATTTATTTCATTTTTTCCCTTTTTTCGTTCATTTCTTCTAATTCCACCAATTTGCATCGAGTTGAACATAACAGACATAATTAATGAATAATTAAGTTATAACACATCCAAATTACTAATAAATACTATAATTTAATAGCTAAATAAGTGTACAAAATACCCTTATCAAACATTCCCAAACTTGAATATTTATTTGTGATCAAACAAAATTATAACCCTACTTAAACAAAAATTGTAAACACACATGGTTAGATAATTTGCCTATGGTTTCAAGATTGTAATATATGTATTAAAATTATGAAATGCTACAAAATTACAATGCTAAAATTAGTTTCTACTTATCCAATGCAGAACTGACGTGTGAGTGAAATTCATGTCAAGTATTACAAATTCATAAAGTGATTCAAATCTCAACCCTCAATAGTCAATAGTTATCCTTCTCCTGTGAGGTTCACACCCCCAAAAACTCATTTTTCAACTCCCAAAGTGTGATCGATAGTTGAATTTATATACTAATCATCACCATTTCTAGTTTGGGTAGATCTTACAAATCACATCTCAACACATCAACAAATGAGGATTCTCTTTATTTTTTACAGCTTCAACCTCCAAGAATCAACTAAGTTAATAATTCATTGTCAAATGTTTAAATTCTCTCAAATAAATGTTTGCGACTTATTTAAAGCATGCAATAATCTTTTTTTTTTCGTCTTTTCCTTTTTTTCTCACCTTGTGTGTGGACTTCTCTCCATTAAACTTTATAAATGATCCTTGAAGCGAGCTTTTGACTAATAACTCTCAAATCAGATGACTATAGGGTATCAAGTTTTACATATCCTTACAGACTTAATCACTTGAGTCATAAAGACTAAGAATAAAAGTTTCAGAATGAGACGATATTTTTTTTCTTTTCTTTTTCTTTCTTTCTTTTTTCGTTTCATTTCATGCAAAGATTAGTGCAATACCTCTTATTAAACATTAATTCTCAAAAATAAACATTTACCTTAAGATTTTTACCTATTTTCGTCTTATTGACCTTAAACGATGCATACAAAATTTTGCACACGTGGAACCTATGACAACTCAATCACCCCAAACTATCTTAGAATTGGTTTTGAAATGTATAATTTAGTGGTTATTGAATTTAGTATCTATGATCCACTAATTAAATTTTTTTTAACCTATTCAAATTTTGAGTCAAACTATTTTTTATGATGCAAAATATAATCTTTTGCACAAAAATATCAAGTTTCACATGAATAAACATAAATCAACCTTAACATGTAACTTACTCACAATTTTATAATTTAATATAAAAATGGATATACCCTAGCATATTTTTAAATAAATTACAAGAATAATAGAAAAATATCACCAGGAACAAGAAATAATTCAAAAGATGTCGGTTTTCAAGCTCAATGTTGAAATCTTCAAAATCTTGATTTAATTGACTTTCAATTCCTTACTAATGATTGATCTTCTCTCTCAAAATATAGCAATTGGTCTCTTTTTCTTGATGAATTTGATGATACTATTGTGTATGAAGAGGCAATAGATGTTTTCAATGTGTAGCCCTTGTTCTCTATTTATAAGAGTAAGAAAATTTATCAAAACCACGTTCAAATTGGATTCCAAAAGAGTCTGAATTGCGAAAGGAAATCGTTGATTCATCTACGAAAATGACCCACGCGCACAGGCATAACCACCACACACTCTGTAGAGCCAAATAGCTTTCAGGTTGGGAAAAATAGGGTACTGCGGGTGCGTCATGAATTGCCCTAGGTTCGCTTTAGTTCGTCTCTAGCAGTTTTCAGTATTTTTGTCATGACTTTCTCTACAGATATCTGATTGACGTAATTCAAAATGCATTGAAAAAATAATTCAAATGATAACAATTCTTCTAGAAATATAATTTTTTCAATTCGAGCGTTTGATATTCAAAAAAATGGGTATTAAGTTGAGGCTAAAAATTTGAAGCATAACTTCTTCGACTGGAAATTGATTTGTGAAAATACTTCCACTATATTTCACTTCTTTGATTATTTCAATCATCATTTTTTTGTCCGAATCAACTACTGGATGTTTACACTTTGGTACTCATACTTTGGATTTCCTTCGTTTTCACACTCTTTTCGTTCATGTCTTCCAAATCCAATAATTTGCATTGAGTTTAACCTAACAAACATAATTAACACAAAATTAAGTTATAACTCATCCAAATCATTAACAAATACTCTAATTTAATGGCCTAGATAAGTATATAAAACACCGTCAAACTTGAAATTTGTTTGTGCTCAAACAAAATTATAACTTAATTTAACAAAAATTTTAAACACACATATGGTTAAATAATTTGTCTTGGGTCTCATAATTGGAATATATGTATTAAAACTATGAATTTCTATAAAATCACAATGCTAAAATTAATTTATACTTATTCAACGCAAAACCGACGTTTGTGTGAAAATTCATGTAAAACATCATAAATTTATAAAATTATTCAAATCTCAAACCTCAATAATCAAATTTGTCATTTCTACTCTCGTAAGTTTCACACCCCCAAACTTATTACTTTCACTCTTTTCCTATATTGTGATCTAAGTTTGAATTTATATACTAATTCCCACCCTCTCTAGTTTGATTAGATCTTACTAATTGCAGCTCAATACATCAACAAATAAGGATTCTCCTTATTTTTTATTACTTCAACCTCCAAAAATCAACTAAGCTAATAATACATTGTTAAAGGTTTAAATTTTCTAAATGTAATATTTCAAATTTTTTATCTTTATTAATTTATATAATAATGAAAGTTATATAGGTAAACAATATCCATTGAGATATTTTTCCCAAGTTTATCAACGGTAAAAAGCTTCATTGTTAATGTTAAATTATTATTTTATTACCTGCAGACATTTTGAACAATAATATTTATTTTATTTAAATTTTTATTACTTATAGAGTCACAATTTTCTTCAATAAATTAAATTATCAAAAGAAAAAAAAAAAGTTTAGAGCGCAAAATTGTAAGTGAGAATAATAATGAATTTTTCATTTATTGCTTTGAAGGTAATCAATCACTAAAACTAATATCCTAAAAGTTGCTTGGAGTTATAAATCTATTTGTGTAGAAGCATGAGAAAAGAAGAACCAAAAGTGTTTCCAAAGCCAAAGGGAAGTTCATAACCCAATATGAATTCATTAAAGCATAATAAAGTCATGATATGAGTTGGAATAGGACGATTGAAAGATTATCAACGTAAACTTCAATAGCTTTTTTCCTCGGAGAGCAAAGTAAAATCAAACCTCGAAGAAGGGCCAATTCCATTTAGGTAAGAAGGGAGTTGAGGTTCATACATGTACAATGTGAGTTTGAAATTGCATCACTAGTCCCTAACTTATTATCTCATTAGAAAGTTAATCCCCAATCTTTAAAAGAAGCACATTGGTCCTAAATATTTCGTTATAATTTTGAAATTTGTCCCTGCAAATCAATACCATTCAGATTATTATTACAATGTCACATGACCTTTACGTGTCAAATGAATAATGAGATAGGCAAAAAAAAAAAATCGAAAAATCGATCAAACCAAACCAAATCGAGTCGGGTCAGTTTGAACCAAAAAATTGGTTTTGGTTCGATTAATTTTAACCATTAAAATGTCGGGTCGAATTGGTTGTAGTTTAAGCAACCAACCTGTAAATTAACCAACCTAACTTGCTAATAATTTTTTTTTCATTTTAAAATTCATATTTTTAAATTTAAAAAATAAATAATAAAAACATAAATATAATTCTTTCTCAAATAATTTGTTTACCATGTACACTTTTTCTACCAAATTTCAAAAGAAAAAGGAAAAGCAAGGAGAAGAATTGTTATTATGAACTCTAAATTTAGATTGTAGCATTGCTTTTCATTTTTATGTAATTGTTTGTTGGTAACTATCGAACATATAGGATGATTTTTGAAAAATCTATCATTTTCCATTTACATTATATATATATATATAGGCAAACAATTTTTTTAACCTTAAATAGGCAATTTTTTTTTTAACTCGAACAAGTATTCAAACCAATTAACCAAACCAAACCAATCCAAATCGATTTCATTTATTTGATTAGGTTTGATTTCAATGAGTGGTTTGAGTTGGTTTGAATTGGAATTGATCTAAATCGATCAAGTCGGTTTCGATTTTGAATTGAACTTTAAATCAATCCAATCAGAACCATTTCCGATATAAATAAGTGAATACTTGTGAATTTCATAAGATGTGTAGATACTTTTATAAACATTAGCAAAATGTAAGAGATCCAACAATGCAATTTTCCCTTATAATTGTTAACTTGCTCACGAGGTTATCAATTCAGAATGGAGTAAAGAGAAGTCAAAAGGTTTACTTGTAAAAGCAAAATTAAAAAATCCTTTTTCACATTTCTTGCATGGTCTCTATGTTTCTATTTCTTTGGGCCCAAGAAATTAAAAAACACGGCCCATCAAAGCCGCGATGACTTTAAACGGTTAAAAACCATTACGCCACTGCTTAATTCCTAAAATACCCTTCATTTCAACAGACTGTTCTCTCCCCAACCGACTTAGACCGAGGGACAAATATGTATTTCCAGTCTCCAAGTCTTCTTGTATATACCCCGGCGGCAACGAAATGATATTTCCAGAAGTTCTAGCGGAGTCGCAGTGATTATTTGTACACAGAGCTTCTCGAATTGTATATTTCAGCCATGGATTCTGTCTCCAATTCTTCTGATTTGATGATGTCGAAACCTGAAGAAAAAATTCCAATCAAAATTACGGTTCCAAAATTATCATCGAAAACGTCGTTTTGTGACCATGACCATGCGCAGATGTTGATTCAGAACTACCGGAATTTCAAGCGGAGCTCCGAACCTGCCCGGTTTATGTACTATGACAACGGATCCTGGGTCGATTATCCGGAAGAATTGGTGGAACTGTTGAAACAGGGTTTTGAAGTGGGCAAACCGGTGGTTGAGGGGGAAATGGATGGGTATAAGTGTCTTTTTGACTTCTACAGGATGCTCGAGTTTGAATTGGATACTGGGAATCAACGATCAATTGCTTGGATTGATGTTAATTGTAAGTGTTTTTTCCCCATGGTTTTTGTTGATGGCAATCGAAATAATGAGAATACTATCGAGAATTGCGATGATAGTAGTGTTAAAGTAGAAATAGAGATAAAACTAAGCGAAAATTCGGGGAATTTAGAGGATTTGAATAAATGCCAAAATTTGAATAAGAGAAAGAGAGTGTGTTTGGAAAGTATAGAAAGGGAAAAAACTGAAGGGAGTTCATCCAATTTTAATGATGCCAAAAGGCAGCAAATAGTTGGCAATGAATTTTACTCAGCGAGGTGGCCTAATCTGAGAGTATTGAGAGGAGAGGAAAAGGAACATTTAATAGTGAAGAATTTGTTTTTGTCGGGGATGGGAATGTTGAAGCACAGTGCTAAAATTACTTCAATTCATCAATGCGTGAGGACCAGTCCATTAGATAAGGCGCGTCATGTAATGTTTCTGAAGCAGATGGAGATCACAAAAATTGCCAGAGGGGATAGTAATATGGTTTTTGCATGGTATGGAACCTCGGCCAAGGGAGTGGACTGCATTTTGAAACATGGGTTTGGTATGCCTGGCAAAGTTCCTGGTCCTCAAGGTCATGGCAATGGGATTTACTTGTCTCCTATACGATCACCCTATAATAGGTGTGTATTTTACCTATATATTTGCATTGCAGTTGTTATTCACATTTGAAATTCCTGTTATATTTGCTAGTCGGCTGATGTGTCTCATATTGTTTAATTACGTACTATAGACTGTGCCTTTCGGTTGCTTTTTCCTATTTGGAATATAGTGCATTCAGTTTGCTGGTTTACTTACGTTATTGGTTGGTTGTGTAAACTTGATCTAGCGCAATGTTGTCTAGCGCAATGTTGTCGGAGACAGATGAGAATGGGGAGAAGCATATAATCCTTTGTCGTGTGATATTGGGAAAATGCGAGAAGATTGAAGCGGGGTCTCAGCAGTCTCGTCCTTCGAGTGTGGAGTATGATTCCGGCGTGGATGATTTGAAGAATCCTGAGTGGTACGTAGTGTGGTGTGCCAACATGAATACCCACATTCTTCCGGAGTGCATTGTCAGTTATATACCCATAAACGTGTCAGGTAAATCTTGTTCTCTTTGCATCTATCTAATTTGCAAAGTAATGGGAGCATGAGCAACTTTTGATATGAATATTACGTTCTCTCTTTCTTAGATCGAGAAAATGGTATGTTGAATGTGAATCGGGTTCCTCAAGGTTCGAATTCCTTGATTGCGAAGTTATTTTCCAAACTGAAAAGTTCTCTACCTCTCCCTAAAATTCAAGAATTGCAAACCTTGTGCGGTGCATATAAGGTAAGCATTTATTGCGTTTAGATCCTAGCCCTTTTTTACCCAACATGTTAAGTTATATGAGAATAAAGAATCAGGTTTGAAATTTTAGCATCGATTTTACATTTTTACTATGATGGTATTGCAGGAAGAGAAAATGGGGAAGGATATTTTCATGACAAAATTAAGATCTGTCGTTGGGGATGATGTATTGCGGTCTACTTTCGACGATATTCTTGGCTGAGAATGAGGTTTTTCTTTAGTATTTTTGCAATGAAAAAGCTTGGAACTTGTTCTTCTTGTAGATGTCTTTTTTATACAGGCACATGTATTGTCACAACTCATATGGCACACATTCTGACATGGAAAATAGGATAAACGAAGGCCTAGAACTTAGATTATATTTTTATGTTGTTCTTATTCCCCCTTCAGTGGAAATGATTTGTCTTTATCCTCTGTTTCGTTCTAAATGCTGAGATATTGAAATTAGATTCATGCCCTTCTGTAGTCCATTTGTGTCTAGTTTATGTTCCGATTAGCTTATGGCAAAGCTAAGTGATTTTTGAATCCTGTATATACGTTGCTAGCGTCAGTCGGGTGCTCTTTTTCTTTTATATTATGATGAGTTTTCTCCCTTTATTTACTTGATGTTTATATTCTCATGGCACGGGGCTTGGATTTTAATTGAAATCATCACTTTGATTCTCTGCAATAATTCTTCCATTAAATATTATTACTCCCTTCGTCTCATTTATATGGGCTGATTTACCTTATTTTATTGTCCTAAATTATAGTCGTGTTTCTTTATTGAAAATGTATTTGTTTTATTCATTTACTAATATGCACTTTGTTTGAGCCCCATTTTTTGGAAAAAAAATGCATTCTTGAATTGTATTTTGACTTCATTTCAACCACATATTGTTCAATAAAATAATATTACACTCAAATTCAAAAAATTTCCTTATTTTTTAACTACTCATTTTCCATCAATGCACTCTTCAAAAATGCATTTTTTTTTAATGACAAAAATGGGGCTCGAAGAAGCTTGCCTAGTTATAACCAAGTTTTAATTTACACACTCCTTGAAATCATTCAAATACATGAACACACAAATCATTCAAATACATGAACACAGATCTCGGAGAGAGTAGAGTTAAGTGATTCATAGTATTTCCCATCATTATTTTTAAATACTACTACGAGTTGTTAATAATTAAATAAGGGTAAACTAGAAAAATTCTTTGCATTGTTTATTCAATCATTAAATAAAATTTCTTAATCCGTGTGAAAAATAAAATCAACCTATTTTATATAAATGGGAAGTAAGGAGTAGTACTTTTTGTATAGAATCAATATACATTTCCATGAGTTGCTTGTTTATATATGCATTTTCTGTTGATGATGATAGGAGTGCAAAATTTATTTCAGAAAAAATATTTATGGCCCTTCCACTCTAGGTTAACAATCCCCCTTACTCAAACTTGGCCCACCTTTTTATTTTTATTTTATTTATTTATTTATTTTTGCAGAAGCCTTGTCACCTAAATATGCAATCCTTAGTTTTTCCTTAGGGGTTATATTCCCTCTTCAGTCAATCGAAATGACAAAACAAGGGAAATTGTCTCAAGAGAGCACCCTTTTCCCGGTAATGCAGAAACCTTTTTCCAGGTAATGCAGAAACCTTTTCATTTACCCATTTTCTTTTGTCTTTCTGTGTAACACGGCTACAGAAGAATGCAAGAGAAGCTAAAACACATATTATTTGCTTCAGTGATTCACTCATTATGGTGAGAAAGAAGGCAAAACAGTGCCAGAATGTCTAGTTTATATAGCTCACTTTGATGGAAATCATGAACTGACTGATTGGTGATAGTGTTATGCACGCTCAGGATGGGAACTGTTCAAGTGCTGTTCGAGTTTGATTTGTTTGAAGAGCTCAATGGAGAACTCATTGACCATGAAAGCTTCTCCGCGAGCTACTTTTAGTTATATCCTGTTTGAGACCCATTTTTTGTTCTAAACATATTTTGGAATAGTATTTTATTGGAGAATATGTGGTTGAAAAATAAAGAAAAATTCTAAATTTGCATGTAATAATATTTTATTGAAAAATACGTGATTAAAAATGAAAGAAAAATATATTTTAAAAATAATGAATATTTTGCGTCACATGTTAAAAAATAATAGAGAAAATTATCTAGAAACTTACTTCTAAAGTTTCATTTTCAAAAATCAGGTGGACTAATGTTTATTTCACAAATAAGGTGTTAATTAGGTTTTAAGAATTAATTTAATTAAACATAATTTACCTATTCACCCCACCCACTCCATACAAATTTCTCCCCCTAATCATTCTCTCTCGTCTTTTCTCACCGGTCACAACCAAACCCTCACCCCTATTCTCGTATCCTGTCTCTCCCCCTCTCTCTACCCACAACTCACTCACCTTCGTCTTTAAAATTACCATTGTGACGGAGCTTATCGTTGGGTTGGAGGCACTTGTGCTGCTTGTCAATCCGCTGTTGACGTATCTGCTGCAAGCAATCGTGAGTCACCTCACTCCACTTTAGCTCGCTGCTGCAAGCAATCGTCAATCGCACGTCACTTTTCGTCATTGGTGATGCGGATGTTAGATTTGGGTGAGATGGTGATGCGATGTCGGGTTGTAGGATGTTGGTGGTATTCTTCACTTGTGTCTTCTTCCTGGCTGTATTCCGGGTTTTGTGTGGGTGTGAATGGGTGGTGCTGTGATGACTGGATTTGCACTTGTGGCTTCCACATTTATTCTTCACGCCTACAGGTGTGGCCAAGTATATTAGTAATGTAGTGGTGGGAAAATTCTATCCTACATGTACACAAACTCGATGTTAAAGGAATTGATTCTGCACTAGCTTCTGCTCCACCCAGTGATGACTAGATTTGCACTTGTGGCGTCCACATTTATTCTTCACGCCTACAGGTGTGGCCAAGTATATTAGTAATGTAGTTGTGGGAAAATTCTATCCTACATGTACACAAACTCGATGTTAAAGGAATTGATTCTGCACTAGCTTCTGCTCTGAAATGGGTGGTGGTGGTGGTGAGAATATACTTGGTGGTTGTGAGAATCTGTTAAATTATGGTGTATGGGTTGTAGTGGTGGTTATGGTGGCGATTTTTGAAATATTTTAGTGTGGTGTTTTGTGATTGATGTGGTGGTGGTGGAGGAGTAGTCGGCGCCGCTGCAGAGTAAGAAGGCTGCAACCGGAGTTGGTGGTATCGGCGAACCTTTTCTGTTCTATGACTAGATCGCGATTTGACTAGGGTAGTTTGTTGTGACCGTTTGTGACTGTTAATTGTGATTCCTTGTGACCGATTGTAACCAATTATGACTGATTGTGACTTGAAATTCTGGAAATTTTTTGGAAGTTGGAAATGGGTGGATGGGGTGGGTAGGTTGATTCGAGCATGGAGTGGTCATTGGAGCAGTTTGCTGAGAGATCGTGAATAGTTGCAAGAGAGAGCGTCGAGGTGATCGTCAGAATAGTCGCGCGGAGCGACCGCCAGAACTGTCGCCGGAGCGGCAACCGAAGAGATCGCTGAAACCGATGGAGAGAAGGGGTAGGGAGAGGATAGAGATTAGAGAGAGAAAATGATTTGGATTTGAAATTTAATAAATTTGGGTAAATGTATTATATTATAATTAAAAATATTTAATTAATTGATTTAACACCTGATTTTTGAAATTTGTTATTTTTAAAATGCAATTCTTATATATATGATTTATGTGTTGTTCCCAAAATAATATATAGACCAAAATTTTCACTTCTTTTTAAGGATTAGGATTTGAGTGAGTGGACATCATTGGTTTGTGGCCCTGTACGCAATTGAACCATGTCAAAGTCGCCGTCCTTTATGTCCATCACCTCGACTCTTGCACGTTAAAATATTGTTTGATAAAAATTTAGTGGGACCAAAATTATCACATGAAGGGGGAAAAAATACAATTATTTTTGGAATATTAAAAATAAATTATGTTCCATTAAAAAGCTGTCGGAAAAAATAAAAATAGTAGAGCTAATCTTCTTTATATTGATCATCAAATTTTTTTTTGAATTGACGCATTCCTATCCTTGTATAAGTTTTCTGAATTTCGTCGGTAATATTTTTGTTAATAAATCAGTTACATTATCAGTCTTCTGAAGCCAAGGAGTATAAAATTTACTTGGAGAAATATGCTTTATTATGAGTTGTGCAATACAAATTGCATTATCTCCATACATTTTTGTTGAACTATCTTTTATTGAAACTAATCTGTATGATACTTGAATATGATAGGTCATATCCCTAAGCCATAAACATTCTCAACTTGCCTGTGAATTGCAATAATTTCATAATGATTTGAAGATATTGCGGTCAAGGTTTGCTTCACTAATCTTCATGATATAGTTGTTTCATCGCGTGAAAATACATATCTTATTTACGATTTAGCTTTACGTGGATTAGAGAGATAACCTGCATCTGCATATTCCACTAAAGAAGATCCCCAAATATTGAGAATAAAATAATTACATATCAATATTACCTTTTAGGTAACCAAAAACGTGTGTAATATCATTCCAATGTCTTTATGTATAGTTATATCTTGCAAGGAGTTTACTGAAAAAATTATATCTTGTCAAGTGCAATTTATAAGATATATTAATGCCCCAATTGAAATAAAATATGGTACCTCAGAACCAAATTTTTTTTTACGAGGATCCTCATTTTGTATGATATTTCGTTCTCATAATTTATTGAAATTTTATTATTTTCGAATATTTATGGTTTCGCAAAAACTGTACCATCAGTATTTGATTGGTCAATCTTTTCTGATATTATTTTCTCTGAAATTTTTGGTTGATTTTTCTTTTGTACTTTTCTCTTTCAAGGTACAGAGTTTTGTTACTGACTGGTCGATCCCATTTGTGGCATATTTAATATTCATTGTCTACAGCATATTATCCTACGCGAACATCAATCTTCACTTAAGTCTTTTCCTGTCGTTACATTCGACTTTATCACAATTTTTTGTATCAATAAATATATCAGATAATTGATTTACAACTATTTACAAGTGAATAATTTTTTCAACATAGATCAAAGTATGATAAGAGTTTTTTCATCCCAA